ACTATTTCACCACACTCACTTTCACACCTACGGACAATTTAGAATCACCAATTAACCTCAGCATGATGTTTGAACTGTGGGAGGCAGCCGGAGAACCCGGAGAGAACCCACGCTGCACGGGGAGAACATGCAAACTCCACACCGGTTGTCCTCAGCGGGATGCGAACCAGCGACCTTCTAGCTGCGAGGTGACGGAGCTAACCACCGAATCACCTTGCAGCCCTTAAAACCTACTAATCAATCATTAAAATTGTTGTCAGTCAATTTAATAATTGACAACAAATCAATGGATCGTTGCAGCTCTAGCAACTACCGAGCCAGTTTTCAGATCACATATCATCATTTCAAATCACACATCATAGAGAAGTGCACTATTGGCAGAGGTCTGTGCTCTTTTCTAGTTTTGAATGCAAGTTACAAAAAAAGGAAAAGCTGAGTGGCCTTTTGTTTAATTACAACAAAGTCCAACAAAAAAAACAATACCGCACTTCCCTCACAGTAGATCCGTCTTTCTCTGTGGTTTCCTGAAAGGTTTGATCCTTGTTCTTGGATCACACACCTCTTTAATTATGTATGTAAAGATCTATTATAAAGACACAACTAAATAGTTTCTCATTTAGGATATAAAGCCGCATAAATCTGCATTTGCAAGAAAGCCCTGCACGGGCATTCGCTGTAGTCTGCTGTCGGCTAGCTAATGAGTTGGAAATTGGATGCGCTTTTAAAAAAAAACCTCACAACCAACCAACCAGATGTTGTCTTTGTTAATGAGTAGTTGACAGGTGCTTGTTTTGGAAGTATTTTTAACCACAGTTTTGAAGAGGCATTCCGTATAAACTTGCAAAGTGCCAGCTTTTATCTGATTGTGTCTCGCAGCTTGGATATGAAATGCTGAAATGGTATCAGTGCGCATAGTGAAATGTATCAAATGCTGCAGGTGTCCTTCAGCATTTCTACCACTGCCAGTCATGTCCATAACGGAAAGTACCTGCCAAAATGCGCACATGCAAGCATTGAAAGCCGTCGGACATTAAACCATTTGCTGTTGCGTGACTTCCCAAAAGAAGGGGCGCAATTATTTTTGCATTTTCAGAAGCAACACTACGAAATGACATTAACGATGTGTGATATTAGCATTGCTTGTCAACCTCCTTTACCAAGCCAGTGCACATCCCAGCTGCCCCCAGGACTTTAAAGGCCTCAACTCACACACACTGTACTGTAGCCACTTTGCCTCTGTATCTGAGCAATGAAATAAATTAGATTTTCCTCACATCTCCGCTCCTCTTTCTAGTTATTGCTTTTCGAACACAGCTGGGACCGTGTTTTTCTACGTCTTCAGTCTGTGGGACATTGCAACAATTTCTGAAAATAGAACATTAGTAATGGCACAATACCACGTGAGGATAACTGTGTAAACTGTGAACGCTCTCTCGTGTGTGTTTCCGGGCATCGCAGGTCCTGTGGGCGGAGCAGCAAGTGGTGAAAAAAAGGAAGAAGCGGGACGTCTATGAAGACCCCACAGACCCTGATTTCCCCAAGCAGTGGTATCTGGTGTGTAATGATCTCTTGTCTTTATATCTCATCAGTCTGTCATTTTAGCAGCTGTGTTAAAAATGTCAAACCTTCAGCACATGTGGAGTAGTTCCCAAAAAAAGGCATAGATGATGTGATTCGCGGTCGTATACCTGTGGTTTCTGTGTAGCTTTGTCAACAAAGAAACGCAGCTTGTAAGGATGTCTGATGTTAAGATGCGTTCAAGAGATATTCATTTGCCTGTGGTCAGCGAGATAAACATAAATTGAATTGCTGTTCTTTTGACTTAGCCCTATTTTCTTCATCTTAACCACCAACGCAAGGTATTCTGAGTCAAATGTATAATTCAGTGCATCCCGGGGTTGTTGGGAAGAATGTAAAATTACATGTCAGAATAGATCCACAACTGAACTGTATCACCTGTGAAACATTGATAGCAAATGGTCCTGGCACTATGTCTGTTTCATTATTCACAGCTTTTCTCAGAGATGCTTCAATTTGCCCTAATCTCCCCCCCTCTTTTTTTCCTTTTTTTTCCATGCACAAAACCTCTGTCACTGCAAAGGATTAATGACAACATTGACTATCCCAGACATAAATCACCACTGAATAGAAGTTGTGAAACCACCTCTGCCATTCAGCATTAGGCTCCTAATCGTCTGAGGACTTAAATCCTTTTTCTCCTATTTAAAGTATTCTACACAGCCCTGACTTTAAAGTAAACTAACAAACAAAGCTGGCTTAGCTGGAGGGCACATGCCACCAGTGCTGACGTTTTGTCTTGGTTGCACAGCTAATTTATGATATTTCTTTCATATTGGTTTGTTTTGGTGCAAGACGCCAATCAATTTATGGTAAAAAATTGCTTGAAATTTGTATTGGATGGTTTATGTGCCAGCTTAATATATATATATAGTTAATATATCCAGGAATGTAAGCTACTTACCTGAGCAACCTGCCACTCTCACAGAAGTGCACATGCAGGCGGTGCGCTCTGTGAAGAAAAATCGGCAGGAGCCAGACAAGTGGGGAGGCTGTGCGTGCTATCTTTCTATTCCCCCATCTATCTGTGTTTGTCATTAAACATCTCTGTCACCTCTACCACTCGCTGCTCTTCATACCTTTCACACGACAAATCTTCTGTCATTCTTCCAAATCAGACTTTACCACTCCGTGCGCCCCGTTCGTCTCCAACCTCCCTCTTCTCAAATGCGCGCAGTTTGTTATTTCTGCTGCGAGGGAGACAAATGCTCTCCCCAAGATTTCTGACCTGCAACAGGTTGTCTTGTCTGTTTTGTGCTGACAGCATAACAGCAGTGGGACGCTCACACCGGGTATCTCAACCTGAGGAGACAGACACGACGGAATGATGCATTAAAATTGAATTTTAAACGTTCACGAACCCCCTCTGATCTTCCCTTTTTATGTCTTGATGTTTAGTTCCATATCAGGCATTGCTGTGTGTGTTTTTTAGGGGGTTTTTTTGCAGCAGCGGCAGATGAGCGGCCTTTACAAATGATTAAAGCTGTTCTCTCGCTGATAGACCTTTTCTTGCGCCTTATCTGGAAAGTGTCAGTCACAACAGACTGACAGCTGAACAAAAGGTTTGTGTCTCTTGCAGTCCACCCCAACACACCAAGACCTGAATACAAAAGCAGCCTGGGCTCAGGGCTACACAGGAAGAGGCGTAGTGGTGACCATACTGGATGACGGCATTGAGAAAGACCATCCTGACCTCATCACCAATTATGTAAGTCAGAAACAGAAAGCAGGGGTGCAGCTTTACACGTGTTTGTCCCAAAACATTTAACACCAGCAGAGAAAAGAGCATCACAGCTGATGAAAACAGAGAAGGGCGGCGTTACTTTGTGCAATTAAAGCTGGATTTGCACTGCTGGCTGTAATGGTTCATTTGTTAATTATCAATATGTTGCACTTAACTTAATGGATGTTTTTTTTATTTTGTTGCTTTCGTGCTCGAGAATATGAGTGAGTCTTCAAGCATAACTGGCATTTGTGCTTTTCATTTATGTATATATATTTTTTTACTTACTGACAGTTTGCCAACATTTAAATGCCTTATCTGTTAACATTTACAGAACAAATGACAACAATGTTATATTAGGCATTTCTTTTGTTTACTCCGCTGTATTAAAAAGATGCTCACCCCAAACCCGAGGTCCAAACCAAATGCTGAATTCTGTGTAAAGCAGCTTTTAATTTGTAAACAGTATTTACAGTTGCAGAATTTTCAGAGACATAACACACCAAAGTTAAAGTTCATCTCTGGGTATCGAAGTTACATATTTAGAACTTTGCCGTGGAAAAAAAAAAAAAACTCTCCCTGCTTTACAAGATGCTTCAATGCAACTCTACACTATTGTTCTCTTTAGAGTGTGCAGATCTGTGAAGTCGCTGCCTCTTCCTGCATCTCATCTCTCCTCAAATGCTGCAGCTCAGGCTCACCAGTGAACCCATGACTCTGTGTAAACACTGTAAAGCAACTTAACGCTAGTACACAATGGCAAATTGGAATATTGGAGTAATTCAGCTATACATATTTAACCCGGACGGAAACTGATCCTGTGAGAGAATAATGATACGGAAAGCCTACAAGCTGACACGATTGGTTCTGTTGTCTTCGGTATACCAGCCATCGCACGGACTGCTTATTTTGCTCATGACGTGTCTTCTAGCGTATAAAAGACACCATATGGATATGTTAACAAGGTATAAAATAAATAAATAAATAAAGCAAACTTGATTTTCACCAGAGGAGGTCTTTAAATGAGCACCTGAAGAGAAATTTAAATAGATTGGCTTGGCGTCCTAACCTTTCTCATTTCTCCCTCAGGACCCTGAGGCCAGCTATGACGTTAATGATGGAGATGCTGACCCCCAGCCAAGATACACGCAGCGAAATGAGAACAGGTAATTTTGCAGCAGACGTGATTCATTTCGTTGTGTGCATGGGCAAGCATATTTATAATGTGAGAGGTGATTTGGAACGGCTACTTTTTTTTCTTTGTTGTGTTTCTTTTTACTTAACTCTACCTTTTTTTTTAAAGATGTTAGTTGACAGGCAGTAGCACTGGAAGCAAGTCTATACAGCTTTCAGCCCAGTGCTTTTGACTGAAACATTTACATTTAGTAACCAATTATACAAAGTTTGAAAGCACTGGTGCAGTTATTCTGCAAAGTCTTGAAAGAATGTTCCCTTTTTTCTTGCTTCAGTACACAAGCTAAGCTGCTGTAGCAGCATTTCAAGGTCCAGCCCGTACAGCCCCACAGCCACACTGGCGCTTATTTGTTGCTAATACAATACTTGTTTACTTGCCCCCAGTGATTCACGTTCTTCGCTTCCAGTCTTTGGTGATCACATTAAAACATGGTTGGCCCAATTTAATGATGGAACACTAAAGCTCTAGCAGGGGTGAATCCTGAACATTCATCCTCTCCCCTCTCCCCATCTCTCCGAACGCTATGGTCCTCTGCTTTAGTCGAATCCCCCCCGGAGCAGATGAGAAGTTACATCCCGCCTCCGAAATGCACAGCAGGATTTGTCCAAATCTCTCTCTTTTCTAGGACGCCTGCCACTAAATCTTTTTGTAGTTGTTTGTTTGTTTTTCTTCTTCAGTTTCAAAGCACAGCATCTACTAGCAGTTGGTCAGAGGGAGAAGCTAAATAAGCTTAACAAGTTCTTAAGAGATTGTAGAAGCTATTGTATGAAAATAGAATCGTCTCTGCACGGTTGTTCCTATTTGAACTTTCCAGCGTTCATCTTTCTAAGCTACTTCTGCTGTTCAGATAGTGCTGTTTGTTTTTCTGTCCTCATCTGAAATATGATCTATTCATCTACAGCATTTATGTATCTTGAAAGAGGTTAGCATCAGCACTTTTTGAGCAGAGACCTTGTTTCTTGTCCTTGCCGACACCTCGAGCAGCCAAGCAGAGCGACCCCAGCCCTTTCTGTCAGAGTAAAGTAGATCCCACTCTGTCCTGCTGATGGAACAAAGCACTACTGGAGGGGATTACTCCCTGACTCTGGTTCACTTCAGTGCCCCAGCTGCACGGTGCTATTACTTCAGAACGCACACATACGCACACATAATAAAAAGAGTGCACAGGTTTGCACTTACACACATTCTACTGCCCTTGTCAGTGGAATTGCCAGAGCAATTATCTTAGACTGGATCAATTTATGGCATGAAATGAAAAGCAAGGGTGTGTCTCTGTGTCTAGAGTGTGGAGCTCCGGTGTTTGGAGTGACCTGTGGACAAATCATATCCAATGAGTTATGTAAATTACCTCAGCGTAATGCAGGCCGACAGTGAGTAATGCTCTCCACGCAGTCACAATGAGATTGTATGAATATATTCATAGGACAACAAAAAAGCAAAGGAGAGTCAGAGGCAGGCATTTTCCAGAGTCATGAAGGCCAGTTCATTTGTACTGATGACACGCAAGGCTGATTTTTGAATTTTCATCTCAGGCTTTCTCCGGAGAGAGGCTCTGTCTTGTGTTGGCAGTTATTGTTGAAGGGAGTGCAGGCTTAGTTGAAGGCTGTTTGAAGTCTGGTCAAGCAGGTAATCCATTCGCGCTTCATCATGAAAATGTTTGTCTATCTTTCTTTACTTTCATCCCTTTTTTTTCCTCCAGCATGTCGGCGTGATACACATGTATGGGGCTGAGCTCAGAGCAGGAGATAGCGGTATCGATTTCACCTCTTGTCCACAAGCTGCCAATAGAGCAGAACTATTTTTTAAGAATTCAATCAATGATAAAAGGGCTGTGCTGTATGCTCAATATCATTAATGGAATATAAACTGTTATAATAAGATTACGGATATCTCTTTGTGTCACCATTCATTTATACCGATGGGCCACATCATTTTAGGTGTCTGACAGGTGAAATGACTGGCAGTGATTGTCTCATTATGTTCTGTAGGGAAACCTTGGGTTCTGGCATTTATGTGGCTATGACTTTGACACATACCACCTACCTGGACATTGTTGCCAAGCTACACAATATTAGGCAGGAGGCTGTGATGTTGTGGCTGATTGATATGTATCAAGATATACACTCGAAAATGAAAATTTAAATTATTATTATAGGCTGCTCTGAATCATTTGTTTGTGTTGGATTTAGTCAGTAGAATGAATAATAGGATAAACAACCAAAACATGATTTGAATTAAACATATACATGAAACAATAATAATGAATTCTCCCTCACGCCATTGTGACAAACTACATAATACCTTTGGAAAGCATCATCCTGCAAGGTTTTTATGGTTTTAACAAAAGAAAAAATACACTACAGTATTTTGTCACTGATCTAAACATCCATCCATCCATCCATCCATCCATTATCTATATACCGCTTCCTCACTAGGGTTGCGGGGAGGCTGGAGTCTATCCCAGCTGACTCAGGGTGAAGACAGGGGACACCCTGGACAGGTCACCAGTCTATCACAGGGCTACACTTAGAGACAGACAACCAAGCACACTCACATTCACACCTACGGACAATTTACAATCACCAATTAACCTCAACATGGTTTTGGACTTGTGGGAGGAAGCCGGAGAACCCAGAGAGAACCCACACTGCACAGGGAGAACATGCAAACTCCTTAGACTCAGGGCAAAGGCACAAAATGGACAGCACTTTTATAACTGTCTAATGAAACTTTTACTGTCTTTAATTGTTTTAACTGTATTAGCAGTTTCACATACGCAAGAGTTCATTTGATGGATTTCTGTTGTTATTATATGTGTCTAGCATATACTGTATAATGGCTGTGTTTTTTAAACATTCTTTAAATAAAAAATAAAGCAGATTCTCACAATTAGTCTACTAGTGTTACACAGTTGTTTTTAACACTTGTTTCTTTGCTATTTAACCACATAGCTGGTGAAGCTGCACACTATCTGGCACACTATTCTCACCAATACATAATTTAGGACAAAGCATGTTTTTTGACTGTGTGGGAGGAAGTCAGAGAACCCAGAGAGAACCCACGCTGCACAGGGAGAACATGCAAACTCCACGCAGAAAGATCCCGGGTGTCCTCACCGGGACGCAAACCAGCAACCTTCTTGCTGCGAGGCAAAAGTGCTACCAAATGCACCACCTTGCAGCCCTGATCTAAACATTCTAATATATATTACAGCTGTGATAAATATAACATAATACTAAAGCATATTTTTCTATCTTTCTTCTAACCTGCATCTCTATAAATCACTCATCTAAGTCAGTAAGTGAAGAGCAGTTACATTATCTCAGTCATAATATTTTTTCTTTACTGCTGGAGTCTTGACAAGGTGGAAATGAAGGATAAAGGATCATTATCATGCCATGCTGTGTCTGTAACTTCAGCCGTATTAGCATCAGCTCATCTTCATTACACATCGAAACCACACACTACTGCACAGATTCTCAGCTGACTTGTTTTAATTTGCACGATGATGTGACTGTAATTTTTTTCTGTCAGTTTGATTACAATAGCTGGTATTCATTTCCAAAAATGAATACACACCAAGCGGTTTCAGTTTTTCAAAGCACACATGTTTGTAACCAGACAATTTGGTGTCACTTGATTACTGCCCCCTCTTCTTTAGATATATTCAGCTGCACACATCCACCGTCTTTGTCCCTCTAACTTTCCTGCGGAGAGCTATTAGCTCCTGCAGAGAACTTTTCACACAGGTCCATTAATTGAGATCCACATGCCTGCACAGAGGACTGCGTAGCGACAGCCTTTATTAGAAAATGACTGGCGTGCCACGCAGCCTTTTTGTCCTTCATTATAAAACAACTCATCATCACTTGAATACTAACGTTGCTTAAATTCAAGGCTCGAGAAAAAAGGTGCTGTGGTTAATGTGGATGATGGCATTGAGAAAGACCAAGAAAAGTGTTTGCACGCTTCTCTTGCCCCAGCAAATTGCTTTGTCCTTGGTGGCACATGGCTATTTGTTTCTCTGACCATGAAAATGCTTCCTCAGCAGAAAGACACCGGCTGGCAAAACGGTAAATGCACCAGTTGCTACGGAAGACACCCATCTTAAGTCGAATTTCATCTCATTCTTAATTTCTTCTGCCATTAGTTAGGCTTCGGCAGGCGTCCCCTGCATTAGTTGGAAGCTTTACAGTTATTAAGCGATAAAATAGTAGGTGACATTTAGCTGGACGCTTTTTCATTTATTCAAGCATGTGTATTTGATATCGTATTGAACTTATTTCTGAATAAGCAAATATATAAACAATGCAAATGGATGAAATTCTTAATGTTCTGACCTGTTCCTGAAACTTAAAACTCCTTTATTTTTTTTGCTTTATCTGTGGTTACCTGTTGATTAGGTATTAATTCGTGATGTTACCTCATGCTCAATCCAACCACGTTGCTAAAATCAAAAGGTGACAGGTGTCTAACTCTTGTCACATGTGTCTGCGCGTCACTGTCAACACAACATGTCAAAAAAACATTTTTCCATGCATCACCAGAGGTTGTCTTGTACTTATTTGGCAAAAAAAATACGTCTCGATCCAATTTAAATTCCGACTGCAACACTAGTAAAAAGGAAAATGGCAGTGGAGTTGCATAGTATATACGGGCACTGTGTCCTTGGCCGAAGGCTGCCAGACACGTGGCAGAGCCTGAAATGGACCGTATTCTAGTGTGCAAATGACAATGGCCTTTCTCTGCAAATCCATATTCCTGCTGTACATACGCTATATGCATACCGAAGTCTGTATGAAGGCAATAACTCTGTGTCACCCAGGGAGTGACACAGGACAAATCAGACTGAAGGAGGGCACAAATCAAAGAAGACAGCTTCCTCGAGCGTCGTCTGCTCTAGCACCTCCGTTACAGTGTTTGACACAGCAGGTCGCTCCCGCGCCGCTTTGACTTCGCTGCTGACACATT